AAGAAGATGTCCGGCGATGGTGTCAAAAATGTGAGTTATGTGCTACTGGAAACGGACCAGTTTCCAAGAAGAAGGCACCCATGAGGCAGTATAACGTTGGTAGTCCGATGGAACGAGTTGCTATCGATTATCGCAGGACCGTTTCCCGAGACAGATGGCGGAAATAAATATATCCTAGTCGCTATGGATTATTTCACAAAGTGGACTGAAGCTTACGCCATTCCAAACCAAGAAGCAGCAACAGTTGCAGAAGTGTTGGTAAAGGATTTCTTTACACGTTTTGGTGTTCCTATAGAAATCCATTCAGACCAAGGAAGGAACTTTGAATCGGCTTTGTTCCAAGATGTTTGTCGATTGGTAGGATCCAATAAAACCAGAACAACACCTTTGCATCCTCAGTCAGATGGAATGGTTGAGAGAATGAATCGAACGATGGGTAAATATCTTTCAAAAGTCGTGGCAGAAAATCAGAAAAATTGGGACCAGTACCTCCACCTGTTCCTTATGGCATATCGATCAGCCGTCAACGAGACCACGGGTCAGACTCCTGCCTGCCTTGTGTTGGGTCGTGAACTACGCCTTCCATGTGATGTCGAGTTTGGGCGTAAACCCCATGAAGAATATGTCGCAGGTGAAAATTATGTTGACCAACTAAAGGCGAAGATGAACGACATTCACGACTTGGCTAGAAGTCATATTCAGATTGCCAGCGATCGCATGAAAAATCAATACAACCTCCGCTCGGCCAATGAAACTTTTGAAGCTGGAGATCTGGTATGGCTGCACAATCCACAGAGACGAAGAGGTCTTTCTCCCAAGCTACAAAGACAATGGGAAGGTCCGTATGAGGTGATCAAGAAAATAAATGACGTGATATATCGTATCAGAATGAACCACCGGAAACCGAAAGTTGTCCACATTAATCGACTCGCACGATATGCCGGATCCAACAACCACGAAGAAGTTAGAGGTATTCGAGAAGAGGAACGCAGCTTTGGGATCGAGCCAAACTTTAACGATTTTATGTCAAATTACGCCCAGCGGACGAAAGCTCGATTTGGCGTTACTCAGGAAATTTGTCAAAATATTTTTGAGCTTCCGGTTAACGTTTCCATCGCCCATTGTGTAGCCGAAGACCTTCGCATGGGTAGAGGTATAGCTTCCGTATCCCGGAAAAGATTTGGAAGAATAGACGAGTTGATAAAGCAAAGACCACGAGTGGGTAAAGTACTGCGCTTGGAAGATAGTCAACGCTCTTTGTTCTACTTGGTTTCAAAGAAAACGTCAAAAGGCAAACCCACCTATGAAAACCTCTGGTCTGCTTTAAAAAACTTAAAGAAACTCATGGCATACTATGACATAAATAGCTTGGCGATCCCGAAGATTGGATGTGGTTTAGATGAGTTGGACTGGAAAATAGTGCGAACCATGATCGAAGTGATTTTTAGAAACACTAGCGTTCGAATTACAGTATGCTGCTTCAACCCACAGGGGACGACCCTCCGAAAAACTGTGGACTGTTACTTTTTCAAGAAAGGTGTTTGTCGAGCAGGCTCTGACTGCAGATTCCGACACGAGGCATTAAAAAGTAATACTAACGCAGTTTCTGAACGAGACGTCCAGAATTAAGAAGGGGGCAGTGTAACGGAAATGCTCCAGACATGACGTCGCCTTTGGCGCTCTGGAATTTTCTACGCGCGCGATAGTAGGAATATTCTAGAATGTACTGGACTTACATTGCTTGCGTGTATAAATGGTTGCGGACCGAACATCGGGGGAGTCTACTATCGAACGAGATCGAGTACGGACGAAACATAGAGCGCGAAAGTCTGATATAAATTGCGAAGTGTGTGTGACATAAATAATCGATATAAATTGTACGGTTTTTATAGTGTTTTAGTTTTGTTTAATAAATATTGATATAAATCGAACCCGAATTTATAAATCACGTTACAATATGATCACTTATAAGATGTTGCATGATGTTACTCCATGTCTTTTGACCAAGCAATCTGGAAAATTTTGACTAATTTTTACATAAAGTGTGTGTAACTGTACAATATGGTTCAAGTAATTTCAAGAAATTGTGTTGCAATTATTGCTGCAAAAATAATATAATTTACAATTTCTAATAGCAATTATAATGGGTACTTGATAGCATACTAGTTTACAAAAAACTGCAAACACTTATTATTCCTTTGTAGAACACCTTGTTCTAAAATTCTGTGCACTACAAATACACAGGTCTTACTGCAATTTATTAGAAAACAGCACTATAATGCATAGCTAGTCGTATTTTCACTATAAATTGTAGGATGATAGCATACAATTATAGATTATTTTACCATATTTTTTTTTCAGTGTAAGTCTGCAAAATATGTAAATTATAGTAAACTCATACACTGATGGGCGATGGCGCCAAGGCCGTCAAGCAATTCTTTTAGTAGGCAGTGAGGCAGTGCATTGCATGTCGTTTGACTCATGAAATTATTTGTTGTAGACAACCGAGCCGAACGAAGGTGTAAGCTCAGCAGTTCCATCTACCTCTACTTCTACTTTCGCAGATTTTGTAGAGATTACAGAATTTGGGGACTGTGACTGTGAAGTAAATCATTTAGTTAGCGATGAATCAATTTCTCGTCAATTTGATGAGATAAATCAGGTAACGGTAACATTCTTTTTTTACTCTGTGTTTAGGTACCTTCTGTTATTTTGATTGATATCAAACATTCAAACAACAAATTGCTTTGCTTCTAGACTGATGATATGCTTGAGTCACATCGAAGTAGAGACGAACAATCGCTGCCATTGATCGACAAAGTAAATGCTTTTGAAAAGAACGAACACGAAAATCGAGAACCTGGGACCGTTGACAAATTTAAAAGACCATCTAACAACGACTATCATACTTTTTTTAAAATTCATCCGATACAACCCTCTGAAAAGGACAAAATGAAATTCAACCCAAGTTTAGCTTATTATTGAGAAGATTTTAATGGCAGCAAAATCAGAAGACAATGGATTTCGTGTTGCGAAGAGAATAATACATTTTTCTGCTCATTCTGTTTAGCATTCAGCAAAGAAGACAATTCATTCACGCAAGGTTGCAAAATCGATCCTCGCAGAATATACGATCGGATAAGAGAACACGAAAAATCGATGGCCCATCAAGCATCTGCAGAATCGTTTTTATTAAAAAGTCAAATGAAAGATATACGCAGCATATTTACCGACACCTCCAAAAAAAGGCAAGAAATTAATGAACGTAGAGAAGTCTTGAAACGAGTTGTCGAAACAGTTAAAACTTTAGGAAAACGAGGTCAAAGTTTCAGAGGGGCCAAAGATGCTGAAGCTGCCTACACTCTGAATGATACCAGTGCCGACCATGGCAATTTTTTGGAAATTCTTTTGTTACTTTCCACATTCGACCCAATTCTCAAAGTTCACATAGATAAATCTATAGAATTAAGCCGTAAAGCTCACCTTAAGAAAACCGATCAAAATAGAGCCGGTCGTTCTGGATCAATCAATACCTTCTTATCAAAAACTACTGTGAATTATATTATAGAGTCAATATCTTCGTTGATGAAAAGTTTTATAAAAATGTTTGGACATTACAATAATCCAACAAATGCAGGTTTTATAGAAAACGCTAGAAGAACTTGCTAGTTCACACAATTTCACAAACGATGTGCGTTTCAAAGCAAAGTCGATAGCTGACTCGTTGAAAAAGTTTGAAATGATACTAACTGCTCACATTTTTTTGAAGATATTTGAATCTACAACTCCATTATCGAAATACCTTCAAACAAATGGAATGAATTTTATCATGGCATTTAAAATGGTTGAACATACCATGAATATTCTTAAAACGGACTCACGAAGATTTGAAGAAGTATTGGCAGCTGCCAAAAAAATTCTCGTTTGGGCTAATCGTAGAATGGATGCTGAATCAGAACAAACAACGCCAGATACTGATAATGATGGCGTTGAAGTAGTACGGGAACCATATTTTACATCTAGTTTTGCTACAAGACGAATCATAAAAAGAACAAAAATCCCTGGAGAAAGAAGTAATGACGAGTGTATCACCGACCCAAAGAAAAGATTTGAAACACAGGTTTACAACGTTATTTATGACAATGCTTTGCTAAGTTTGGAAAACAGATTCACAGGTCATCAAAAATTATTTTTGGACATTGCTTGGTTAGATCCATCCTACTTTGGAGAAATTGATCGTTTGCCAGATGATTCATTTCAAGATATTGCGGATCAGATAACAAAACATAGCAATCTCATTGTGACCTCGGCAGACATTCGGACTGAGCTAAAAGATTTTGCGAAGAAATGGAACGAAATGAAAGCGGTCTTGGTAAATGTAGGACGCAAATCGATATCCAACGAAGATGATCACAAACCCCTACATATGACTACATGTCGTCAAACATGCAAAAATTGCGTTGTATGTTGTTTTACAGTTTTGCTCCAGTATAAATTACATACTGTGTCATACAATAATCTATACAATGCTTATAAATATGTCTTAACATTGTCATGCGCCCAGGTTTCCTGTGAAAGGACATTCTCAAAGTTGAAATTTGTTCTAAACAGGCTAAGAAGTTGTCTCACACAGGAACACTTGGATGCCTTACTTTTGATGTCTGTTGAAAAAGATATTTTCGTAGATATAGACACCGACGATATTATAAATGATTTAGCAACAAAAAGCGAATCTTTGAAAAAGTTGTTAATTGTTTAAAATATTAAATATTATACTTACATTTTGGATGCGTTTCATGCAAACAACATTTTTATTGCAGTAGTTGTAGTAAATATAAAGATCTTGTGTTCAGTTATTAAACTATAATGATTACCCTGACCTTTGGGCTGACCGTTGTCAATCAAAAGTGAATCAATGTCTAGTGTACCTCCTATTTTAATCGATGTATGTACATGTAGCAAAAATTGTTGTAGGTTAATCTAAAAGCGGCCTACTCACGAGGCAATTTGCAGGGTACAATTTGCAGGGACCCTGCGGATTGTCTCGTGTGTATTGCAATCGTTCCAATTTTTTAACGACTTCACGATATCGGCTAGTTGGGTTCTCAGTCATTCCAATCGCTCTGCTCCCCTCCCGAATACCCTGCGAATTATTGTGTGTGTGGGACAGTTGGAGGCGATTTGATCTTAATAAATGAGGTTATAGGTCGGCCGGGTTATTTGTTCTTTCACGTTGATTATTTTTTCTTGTTTTTGGCTAGAAAAAGTGGATTAGTGAAATACAATAATTTAAAAACATAATGTTGGAAAAAGAAAAGGAAGTATGGACCGATATCATCGACACATTTCGAGATATGCCTTTTTTATGGGACAAAACAAACAGTAACTACCTGAATCGCGATATGAGACAGGAAGGCTTCAATATTTTGCTAGATAAATATAAAGTGTTCGACAAATCAGCAACTTTAGATGTATTCAAGAAGAAATTAGAAAATATGCGGACAACGTATAACAGGGAACTAAAAAAAGTAAGTTGTTAATATAGATTTTTATTACTTTGTGTCTGTAAAAAGTAGGCATTTTACTAGTTTTGTATTATAATTTTTAGATAAAAAATTCGAAAATAACTGGGTCAGGATTAGATGATATTTATATACCATCATTGTGGTATTTCGACCTGATGGGATTCTTAACAGAAAATACCCAACCAAGCCGTGACGGAAAAGATACTTTGGAAAACTCTACTCAGGTAAATAATAACAAATACTATCAATCTATGATTTATTTATTTATTTTTCTTATAATGGCACAACTCTCAACATATTTTCCTGAAAAGAAACACTGCCTTCTGCATTGAAATATTCTTTAAATACGTTTCGAACATATTTACCTTCTTCATTCCTTTGCCTATCGCTAATTTGTGCGAGAGGAACTAAATTAGTGCCTATATCACGCCACGCACCAAGGTCAAATGTCAAATTTTCTGTATTTTCTTTATCTACAAATGTCTGTGTGATGTAGCTAGATGATTTGTTTCTCAAATAATTATGAAGTGCACAACAAGCCAATACTATGGGATCAACATTGTCAACATTGGTAGCAATAGTTTGTAGTAAAACCCTAAATCGAGATACCATTATGCCGAAGGCGTTTTCAGAAACTCTTCTGGCACGAGATAGCCTGTAGTTGAATATCCTCTTTTCATGATCTATGTTTTTGAACGGATATGGTTTCAGAATGTGTCTACTAATAGCAAATGCACTGTCGCCGAGAAATACATAAGGGCCAGAACTGTTGCTATCTGGTAAAGGAGACGAAGGTGGCAAGTTTAGATAACCTCTAGTTAACATTTTAAAGAAATTTGTATTTTGTATAACACCCCCATCTGAAATACTTCCGTTTGTTCCAGTGTGTACATACATAAATTCATAATTTGCATTGACCACAGCAAACAGTACTACACTAAAAAAGCTTTTGTAATTGTAATACGCAGAACCGCTGTGTGGTGGCTTCCGTATTGCTATGTGTTTTCCGTCCATAGCCCCTAAACAATGACTAAAATTCCACTTGGTTTCAAATTGGTTGGCGACACGTTTCCATTCTTCTTCTGTTGTTGGCATCTAGAACAAAAAATCAGTGATAAACAATGATGAAAAAAATTATAAAATATAAACACAAAATATATTAACTATATTTTTATTTTCAGGAAACACCTCAGGTGCCTGTTGAGTTATCTAATGAAAATGCACTCGACCAAGAAGCTTCAGGAACTAATGCAGCCACTCAGGAGGAAATACCATCAACATCAAAAATGACAAATACTAAAAGGCAAAGAAAAAGCTTAGACAAGGCTAAAGAAGAAGTACTGAAAAGGCAAATAAATTACTAGATGATACGGAACAAGAGTGGGAAATAATCGGAAAATCCTTAGGACTCCAGTTAAGTACAGTGGATCCACAGCAATCAGCTATTGCTAACAAATTAATTTCTGATGTTATTTTTTACGCCAAATTGGGGAAATTAACTGAAAATGCATCAATTATATTGAATCCCGCAGTCCAGACACCGTACCATTACCAATATTCTTCGTCATCGCCGTCGTCCCGCCATTCAGTAGCATCTGTATCTACTCCAAGAGTGTCTCAGTATTCAGCCTCATATTCAGCACCTCCCAGTATTTCGATGGGACCAATATCCCCTCAATACTTGGCTTCAGGTTCGACACCAACAACAAATCAAACAGCAAGTTTTTACCCTGTCGACCGAACACCTACTGTCGTCCATCCAACAACTTTCGATCAACCACCTCCTGAAGATACCGACATAATATCTCAGTATCTTGTGTTTAAATGATTTCAATAAAAATTTAATTATCAAAAGTGTATATATTTTTTTAACTTACCTTTATATAGTGTTTCAAACAATTGTAGATAGCCCAACATGTTTCTGGAATTATACTAGATAGGAGTTGCGGGGATATAACTGCGCTAAATTTTAGGTCTTCGTAACTTCTTCCGGTAGCCAGATACCTCAAAGTAACAATTAATCGTTGTGTGGCACTAACGCTGGATCTCATTAAAGTGTCTTGTTTGGCAATTAAAGGCCCCACCATATTAAGAAGTTCTTCAAAACAGTTACTATCCATCCGTAAAAAGTTTTTAAAGTCCTCTGCTTCCAATTCCTTCATTAAAATTGTATGAGAAAATTGACTTCTTTTTAGCAACCATTGTTTTGTCCAGTACTTTCTTCTCTTTTTCTTTTCATCAGAGTCTAATGTCACTAATGCTAATGCTATACCAATTTTTTGGCGCTTTGAGGGAGCCATGGTGAGATACTACACGCACTCGGAAATCAACAACTCTACTGATAAATTGGGATGTGTAGCGTCTACACCCAATTTCGTTACAAATTGTTCCCTGCAAATTGTACCCTGCAAATTGCCTCGTGAGTAGGCCGCTTAAAAGGGGCCGGTTTATAGTGACAACCCGGGCCGAAAAATGCTCCCAATCCGGGCCTGTCGCTGCCTCCTGGACTATTTGGAGCGCTAACACATCGTTGATTTACTCCTTGGTAAGCATTTTTGTTTTGGTGTATACAATGCTGTCTTTTAAGTTAGGATTTGTTACACACAGTCTCACATATGATTTGACCCAGCAGCCTTGTTGTGATAAAAACTATAATTTTAAAAATTTTAATTGTAATAATCATTTACGTAAACTTGCAAAAATTTTTCTTTCATGTATAAATTATGGTACTTTTTTGTTGTAGTGGCGGTTAGAAAAAATCCCCTATGCTACAATGCCACAAAAAAAGATGTGGAGATGGCTCAGAAACGCGGGCGATAGAGATGGTGGGCGAAGCAGGCGCAGGAACAAAAATACCAGTAGTAATAATACTTAATTAATCAAAAAATTTCATTGCAAAATGTCAATATGTAGTATTAATAAAATTTACATTTTTCATACGCTCTCAAACTGAAGGTTGGGTAGTTTCTGGGCTTGTACTAGAATCATCATTGTTAGTTTAAGACTGATTTGAACTAACATGGGGTTGGTTCGACCTAACCAAAATAGAATATCGTTAGGTTAAGCTGGATTTGAACTGAAAAATGTGGCATGCTTAACTATTACTTTGATGTACATTTTCTGTTAATAGGGAAAGGTCGGCGGTCGGCCCATTGTTCAAATAGATCGTGGCCAGTTGGAAATATTATATAATGAAGGATGTACTGCGACCAACATCGCAAAGTATCTGGGGTGTTCCAGGCAAACGATTTATAAAAAATTATATGAATTTAATATGCCTCTGCGAGCCCGATACTGCCAAATTACAGATGATGAATTACAATCAAAAATCACTGATATTCATCATGAACATCCAAATGCTGGGCAAACGGTAGTTTGTCAAATGACTCGATTTTAATTATTCTCAACATAATTATAGATGACGCAAGCATATTTAAAGGCAGCTGGAATTTATGTACAGAGGTGTAGGATAAGATCAACTTTAAAGTCAATAGATCCTGTGGGAGCTGCTGGTAGGTGGAGTCGTTCCCTCAAAAGAAGACGTTATTAGGTTGCACTCTTTGTGGCACATGGATGCACATGTAAAAGTTTCAAGGTAAAATGTTTAAATAGACGCACTGTCTGCTAATTTTCATTAACAATATGATTGCAATTTGTTTCACTTATTAACAGCAATTAATACAATTGCATGGTTTGTAGTACTAATAAAGTCCTATTTATAGATGGGGTTTTGTAATTCATGGTTGTGTTGATGGCTAGTCCAGGTTAATTATATACTTACAATGTGAGATGTCCATCCAAGCAGAACCTGTTGTTTCTCTGTTTGCAAATGCTGTCAATAACTATGGGCTACCGTCACGGGTCCGCTCAGACCATGGCTATAAGAACATTCTTGTAGCTTTCTTGATGAATGTTATTCGCGGGGTAAATAGAGGAAGCCATATAACAGGAAAGTCTGTCCACAATCAGAGGATAGAACGGTTGTGGGTAGATGTTTATAAGGAAGTATGTGAAGTCGTTTATATGGAGTTATACGCCTTAGAAGATGAACATTTATTGGATATTAATAATCACATTCATACATTTTGCATACAATACATATATAAACCTTTCATTAATAAACAGTTGGCATCATTTCAATCTGCATGGAACGTTCATAATATGAGAACTGAAAACAACCGTTCACCACGTCAAATATGGCTAGAAAGTATATTGCAAAACCGCAACACAAATCACACCGCTGTGCATGACATTTTTAACAACAACATACAACTACACACTGTTGTGTCATATACGGGATCGATCGGTTACATTAACAACTGCAGGAATTTATTAAAATGGACTTTAATAATAAATGCATACAGCAATTATATATTATATTGTCATTTCCTACATATTGACAATAGACAACGACATTACACTTAAGACTAGCACGAAGTTATCCACTGTTCTCGTTGACAGTCACCAGTACCAACCCCATATTTAACTAACACTACATTTCTCCCCTCTTATTTTAAGGTCGTCACTTACAAAAAAAACATATTAAAATACTTACAAATTTAAGCGGTTAGGTGGTATAACCGTTCGTTTGGATCTACGGAGGGAAGGGGATGGAATATCTTTTATAACAGGATGATAAATATAAATATAATATAAAATAGTGATGGAGAATCTGATTCCGATGATCGTGTATTACGCGCTAAAGATGGCACTTTGTGGAAACTTACATCTCCTTCCGCTCATCAAACTCCTACACAAAATATTCTTCGTCAGAGAAGTGGAACATCAAGAACCACAAAAAATCTTTCTGTGAGCGATACATTCAGATGCATTTTCAACCAAGTGATGTGCAATATTGTTATCAAAGAGACAAATCGAAAGGCTAATGAGGTATACTCTAAATGGAATATTTCAAATCCGGAGAAGCCACAGAAAATCTGGAAGCCGCTTACAGAAGAAGAGTTTGATGGTTATTTAGGTATCTTGATTACAGCGGGTGTTCGTCACTCTAGCTCTGAAGATGTCAAAGAGCTTTGGAGAATGGATGCCTACCCATTATATCGTGCTACAATGGCAATCAACAGATTTTGGGCCATAACAAGATTTCTAAGATTTGACAATGCCAATACAAGGCCGCAACGGCTGGAGAGCGACAAGGCAGCTGCTATCACAGAACTGTGGCTTTTATTGAATAACAACTTGAGAGCACACTACGTACCATCGGAATGCCTTACGGTCGATGAACAGTTATTCCCTTATCGAGGAAGAACAAGATTTACACAGTACATGCCCGCAAAACCGGCAAAGTACGGTATAAAGATTTGGTGGGTGTGTGACTCGTTGAACTCCTATCCGCTCACTGGACAAATATATACAGGAAAATCACCTAAAGGTCGTGAACAAAACCAGGGAGAGCGGGTAGTAAAAGACCTATGTTACAGGTATAAAAACACTGGTAGAAATATTGTAGTGGACAACTTTTTCACCACACTTCCGCTGGCACGGCTCTTGTTGTCATGGGGACTCTCTATAGTTGGAACGCTGAAAAAAAAACAAGCCATACATTCCATCTCAGATGTTAGCACATAAATCAAGACCTACGGCTTCATCCCTTTTTGGATTCAGCGATGACAAGATTACGATGGTATCTTATGTGCCGAAACCGAAAAAAGCTGTTATATTATTGTCCACCATGCACCATACCACAGATGTGAGTGGTCCGAAGAGGAAGCCAGAAATTATAGAGTACTATAACTCTGGAAAAGGTGGCGTTGATTGCATGGACAAGATGGTTTCGCACTACTCCATCAAACGAAAAACTCGTCGTTGGCCTGTAGCTATGTTCTATAATATGCTGGATATCGCTTGCTTGGCATCATTTATTATCTATATGCAGAACAATCCGATGGAGTCAAGAAAAAACGAACGCCGGCGAATTTTTTTGCAGACTTTAGGGAAACATTTAGCAATGCCCACAATCGAGAGCCGTACGAAGAATCCAAGGATGTGTCAGAATTTTAGCACCAAGTCCGGAATTGAATGCATGCTGGGTAGAGCACTTGTCAATCCTGCCATCTCTGAAGAGGAAGAAAAGCCAAGGGATGCATCTGGTCGTTTGGTTGTTACAGGAAGATGCCATATTTGCAGGTCTTCTGAGAAAAAGCAAAGAAAGACCCGAAAATTATGTTTCGCTTGTAAGCGTCCAATGTGTGCCGTACATACAAAAACCATTACGAAATGCCACTCTTGTGCTCTGTAGCAGTATGTGTTCTATAAATATAATGTTCATTTTTAGAAAATAAAATTAATTTGTTTATAATTTATGGTTATTTATTCTTAATTTTCCGTTGTGCATCAAGGTATG